TAAGGATCCCCCAGAGATGGAAATTGTAGACCGAGGCGGTTTCGCCTCGCGTACCGAAGGTGGTGCTGTAGCCCCCCCAGATGAGCCGGCTTTGGGGGTCGGCTCCGACTCCCCGCCACCGCTCGAATGCTTATGTTTCGTAATTTTGTTTTTTTTTGTTTTCGTTATTTTCATTGTTTTTCATTTCTGTTGGGTCCCCACTCAGAGCCGCTATCCAAAACCCGAGCGTGTAGTCGCCTTTAAATGGTCCCATAGCTACCTCTGAACAAGACTATGGCGAGGGTTGACCCATGCCCTTATGGGGTCATGAGTTCAGAGCCGACCAGCGCAAAGACGGGAGTCATCTCAACCGCACCTACACCACCAACTAAACGGCGACGGGAATTGGAACGTACCCTGAGGCCTGCCAGGGTTTTAACGGGACGGGGGCAGTTGCGGCATTAGCCCACCAGCCATTTCTGCTGAGTGTCACCCCAGCATACTCAGGTGGTAGAATACCGCAACCACCAGCTCAGGGATCGACAAATCCAAAACGTTTCCAGAATCGTAGTCAGAGGACGAAGCCAGGGTCGTTACCGTTCAGGTTAAGAGGCCGTGGAGGCCGCAGGCCATTTGGCGTTACCCAGGGTGCACCACGCGGAGGCGACCTGCTCTACACCTAACTTTTATTTTATTTTTTTTTTTCTTTACCAGAATTACGAAAACGACCCTGACGTACTGAAACCCCTCATTGAACCTTTTAAATCATAAAAATCATTCTACAAATGCAAGAATGTTAGGAGTCCGACTCAGTATCAACCAGATCAGTAGGCTTATGGTTTCAGAGACCGGCTGCATAATAACGAGTCCACCCAGCATTACAAGCGAATACTGACGCGGAATATAGTAAATGCGTTGACTTCGATATATTCGTAACATCAAACTTAACTTATTAGATTACCAACACTGAGTCGGACGAACCCTAACCGCCACCTGACGTAACTACGGGGTGTTATTTTTTTTTTGTTGCCCGGCTAAAGACTTCTTTTTTTTTTGAGACTATATCTCAGGGGTTAGTTGTGCCCCACGTTCTTTTGATTTTACCACCTAACTCTCTTGCGGA